GTTAACTTAGCGAACGAGCTGAACACGAGCTGTTCCCGAACAACGAGCCATTTTGACAACTCTAATCAAAATTAATTAAAATTAGATAAATTTATGAATAATTATTTAATAGTAAATTAATAAATAAAAATATCTTTTAAAATTTAAATAATATAATTAAACTATAAATAACTTTTCATTTATATAATTATTAATTGATTAATGAGTAATTAGTTTAAAATCAATTGTTTATTTATATAACTAATTATTAATTAATGTGAATGCCCCATTTTTTATACATTTTGAGGCTTTGGATACTCCTTTATATTTTTTAATTTAATATTTATCGCTTATTCAATAAATTTTGATAAATTCTCCTAATTCCTTTTAAAATTGCAAAAAAGCTTCTCAGGATTTATCAGTATTTGTCTGCTAAGATACCAAACCGTTTTTAGGATTTAACTATCTCAGGATTTGATACATCTGGATTTACAGGATTACTAAATCTTAGTTAAATTTAATCCTACTTGTAACCAAACAACCACTATGCCTCACAAGCTCATATCAGGGTTTGATGGTGCCATCAGTATACTCGACTAGGTATTGCAGAATGGTGCACAAAGGAAGCCAACATATCCCTTATCAGTAAAGCCCCGGAGCTTAAGTGAACTGGAAGGAGAAAGAAGCATGGGTGCAGCAAGCCTATAACTTCGATCAACACCCTAGTGGCGGCGTGCGCTTTCGAGTTTGGAGTTGGGCAGCCATAAAAGAGTTTCAGGTAGTTCATAAGGCTCATAGGTTTAACTCAAGAGATTTGGATTGCAACGAAGAAACCACCAACAGGGTTACAAACAAATCGTATCTTCCATATCACAGATTTCTTTCTAGTCTTGGCACTATGTTCATCGAACTAAGACAGTTGTTATGGTCCCCACCTATGGGAGTGACAAAGGAAAATGATGTGAGCTGACGAAATGAGAAATGGTGTAAATCACGTGAGACGAAAGGTAGTGATCTGTCACCGGGCGGCTGAGGTGAAAGTATTGTGCGGTTAAGGGTGCACTCATGGTGGCTCTTCAGAAGTGTTGTTGGAATAGTAGGAGATTGTTTGGGAAATCTAATGTGTTTTACTTGTTTATGATGAAAAAGATTGTTTAGTCCTTACATACATAATTTATCTCAACAACTGTAGTTTTCAAAATAAGTGTAGCTGAATAACAAAAACCGATCCAACAGTTAAAAAACATGTTCGTAGTATATATATTTTCCAATAAATCAATTTTATAAATCATTTCATGTATTAAGTAACAAGAATGGGAACCACAAAAATGACAAGTACTACTATAATGACATTTGCTTCGAGTTGAAACTATATCATAGCAGCATGTCCACTCACTTGATCCCTATATGTAGTGAACTCATATGTATCATCAACCCAACAAAAGTACATGCAAGCTTCAAGTGTCATATTTATGATACAATAATAAAATCTCCTCAAAAAATTGTCTTCTCTTCTTGATGTGTACTCAGAACATTGCGTACTTGAGAGATGGTACACAACTCTTCAAGTACTTGATGATCTTGAACTCAATTTTCCTGTTATTATAATACATTTTCTTTAGTGGGCAAAATAGGCCAGATATGCAATAAAACAATAAAAAAATTATTTTGTTTCATAATATATATATATATA